CTTCACTTTTCATGGAGACCAGATCATGTTTTTTCTTAGGAAAAAAAGCTATGCAGAGATTACACCTTATCAGTAAAACATTTTTCTACAGAGAAACTGTCAAGAGTGGTAAACTTGGACAGTAACATAATAGTGAAACCAAATATGCTCCTTTGTGACAGGCATGCAATGGAAACCAAAAGGAAAGCTCTTGATATAACAAGAAAATTGTATCCCACAATTTGGATCGCTCCGCTCAGGGAAGTCGCTATAGACTGCCACCAAAAAAGTATCTTCTTCTAAGTGCAGTTAGATAAACACATAATACTAAGCTGAATTTTACTAATTCCTTTTGTCTTTTTGTGTAATTCCTGTTCATTTTGTTGGAGCTAAAGACATTGTTTCACATCATAAATAATAAATATTCTATCCTAACCTAATGTAACCTGTATTTGCAGCACATAATCCAGGCCTACAGCAAGCAGAGCGGCATCACGGTGCAGGAGGCTAAGATCGAGTTTCTGAAAGCCATTTGCAGCTGGCCAACATTCGGCTGTGCCTTCTTCGAAGTGAAAGTGAGTCACCAGGATAGATTGTCATGAAATCAGCATTCAGCAATTTGTGGAACAGTGTTTTGACATATTATGATTTCCTTTGACTTCGCAGCAAACATGTGAATCAAGCTACCCAAATATAGTTTTGATCGCCATCAGCAAGATTGGTATCAGCTTAATAGACCCACAAACAAAGGTAAGCCTAATGATGCTTATTAATACATATGTGTTTCCTTTCCTTTTCATGTTTGATTGCACTGTCACTTTTTATGTGAGTTTTGACATTTCTAGCTAACTGTTTGGTCTTTATTGGTCACAAACGTGATGTAGAAGAAGTACCGAGATCTTTTTCTTAAGTAAAAGTAATGTGGAATACTTGAATACAAGTAAGTCTGGCATTTAAAATGTTACTTAAGTAAAAGTACGAAAGTATAGTAGCATCAAAACATCCTCAAAGTACCAACAATAAAAGTACTTATGGTGGTCATTTTTTGAATAATATATATTGTATGACTGGTTTAATGATCCATTTATGGAAACTATTTTAATTTTGCAAATGGTGGAGATGCTTTTAATTACTTGTTATACTCCCAGGTATCTTGATTCATAATAGCATGTCATAATTCATTAGCGATTTACATTTATGTAACAGAAATATCAACCTGCAAAATAACTAAAATGGCAACAAAAAAAATGTAAAAAGGGCCGCCGGATAGATGAGTGGTTAGAGCTCTCATGCAGTGTCCGCTGCCAAGTAAGTGGGTTCGACTCTCGAGCCCACCGAACAATCTCATCCCCTCTATCTCCCCCTTTCAACTCTGCATCTCAAATAAAGGCACTCTCTGGCCCAAAACATATCTTTTGATCAATATTTTGAAGTTGAATGTCAGTATAAAGTAGCATCAAATGGAAATACTAGCCAAATGTTTCTCGAAGATGTACTTAAACTATCACATGTTAATGTCAATCCCCTTCAGGAGGTGCTGGTCATGCATCCGTTCAGCCGCATCAAAGAGTTCCAAAGCGAGGGGAACTACTTCGAGATGTCCATCGGCACGCTGTTGAGGGCCGTCGTCTTCGTCTGTGAAACCACACAGGTGAGCAACTGCCTTTTTAATGTCATTTTGCAATGTCTATATACGGCAATCATCACATTATTATATTATCATGAGAAACCATTTTTCAATCAAAGTTTTCTGACCTTTTTCCTGTTTTTTTAGGCCAACACAATGGAGGACCTTCTCAGGTCGTACATCACCATGTATGAGAGGCAAAGGACGGCCTTACGACCCAAACACAACATTTTCTCTTGAGGGCAAAAGAAAAGCCTCATGTGCATTCTTGATCAATACAATTAAATACAACCAGAAATAGGGTTCATGTTAATTTACTGGTATTGACCTGTGATGCCTACATTTAGTCATTTATCCTAAGACATTGCACAGTGATTTATCAATAAAGTTTGCAGTTACAGAGAAGCAAATACTTTTTCGTGCTCCTCCAGTTTGCCAGTAGATTAAGCCCTTGTTTTGCCATAATTTGATATTTAATGGTACTGAATTACCTCTGATTTCACTAATACTGGTTTCTAATAAAGTCACTAATCCCACAGTGCATTTTCCCTCTAGCTTGGTGAACTTTTAATAAATACTTTACACTCAATTTAAACTATGTTAGCTATTTAAGTTAAATTATGTTATTGTTAGGATGGCATGGTAGTTTTGTGTTTAGCACTTTCTCCTCACAATGTTGAGGTCCTACTTTTTCTTAGAAAAAAGGTGCAGGTTTGACTTAAATTGAAAGGGGCACCACTGCATGTGCCTTAAAATAAACGATGCAACATATACATCTATGTAAAATTGAAAGTTGTTGTCTTGGCTTATTGTTTTCAGGTGCTTCCTGGGCATTAACCCTGAGAAGGCCTCGAAAGCCAAGAAGAAGCGTGGCGTTATAAACCCCCATGTCAGCACATTCTTTAGAAAACTCCTTGACTTCGAGTGGATGTCTATGTAGACATGTCCAGGACTAATGTAAGACACTCACAGTCTGTAGAAGGTTTCATGTGAAATGTACTTTGCACTTGAATGGAGGAATAAAAAGTTAAAATGGGTATTTTCTTTGTTTTTCTTTGTTGATTGAGCAGATTCAATTGTGTATGGTAAAATCCCATTTAACTATAGTCAAATTTACAATATATTATAGTAGTATTTACATTTTTATATTTATAGTAAATTACTGGCTACTGTGTTGCATTACTTTTACAGTAAAAGTGTGAAAATACAGGTAATTACTGTAATTTATGTACAGCAAGGTACCATAATACCACAGCTGCTATATCACAGTACTTCCATGGGCATGGCAACTGTAAAGTCACAGTATGTAGTTGTACTTTTATTCTAATTTACTGTAAAATATCTACAGGAAATTACTGTGAAATATTTACGGTAAATTACTGTGAAATCCATGCAACTAGTAGTCAGTAATTTACAGCCAAAATGTTTACAGTGTACCACAGACTCCCCCCCCCCCCCCCCCCCCCCCCCCTGCCTGAAAAGCCTCCTTGTCTGCTTCTGTAACATAGTGACATCGTTATATAACACTCACTCTTGTAGTGCTAAGGGGCGGGACATTTACGGTTGACCAATCACAACAGAGTCTAAAACCTTAATATATTTAGTTTAATAGGATATTACCAAAACAACATTTCCACATTTGAGAGCATGAAAACAGCATGTTCTGCTATTTTTGCATTAAAATTGCAATGAATATCTAGCCTAATAAATCAGTAATAATTGTTTAAAGATAGTTGACAATTATAATTTTTTGATCTTTTATGTCCCCTAAAGCCTAACATAATATATATTGCTACTATAATAATAGAATACAACATGTATGTTATATACACTTCATTTACATATTATTTAAGGAGACTTTTGGAACATTTGGAGAATTTTGTAATTTCAGTCAAATCAGCCCTGTGTCTTGCATCATCTCTTTCCCAAAACGTTTTTTCACCTGCAAAATTTAATAGAACAATTTCAACAAAAAACAGTGTTTTATTTTTGTCTTTAGTTTAGGAAAGTGGGCTGTTCTAAGGTTAATACGACTGGATGCTTATTGTCACAAAAAGCTGTTTATACAGTTTTGAAATATCCTGTGTAAATGAAAACCCTTTATTCTCCTCTTGACTGTGTTTTTTAACTGTTATTATTATTTAGCATTATTGTTAGACATCTGTCTCATACAAATTCTGTGAACAGTTTCCAAAATGTCAGTCAACATTCCCAGTTTTCCCTCAGACATTCTATGCTCCTGGAATGTCCCCACTGCTACACGACACTGTTTTCCTCATAACACAACTCACAAACAGTATGTGTTTTTGTGTGTACAAGTAGTAGTGTAAGACAGTAGACTGCTTATACAACCCTCCTCATTGCCTGTCAAGACTATTGCTCTGTTACCATGGAAACCATGTGACCAAAAAATCAGGTTACCATGGGCAGGTGCATAAGGTGCAGTATTATGGTTTGTGCCTCAGACTATATCTTGATGAAATCTCACTGCAATTGGAGCAGAAGTTTGACATACGCAAAAACCCTCGAAAGTGTATACTGTCTTTTTTAATATCTCACATGAATCCAGGAAATGTACTTTGAATTTACTTTTCAATTATTAGGGGTTACATATTTGTTTCTGTATCAGGAAAGACTTGCATTGTCTGACTTGCACTAGGAGTTACAGTTATTTCATTTTCATGCAAAAAGTGGTGTAAGAATAAGATATAGGCCAAGAGTGTTAAAGGTTTAAGAATATGTGTGTGTATTTGTGCATGCTACCCTACAAGAGGGCATTTTGATGCACTGCACCAAATTTGGAACAAAAGACCTTATAGCCCAGACCACATCACTATCCTCCCACCTGCACACCCCCCAACCCCCCCCCCCCCCCCCCGAACCCCCAAACGCAACTTGTAATTCAACACTAAAATACAGCATATCAAGACCAGCCCTATCTACTTAATTATACACACAACAACTTTGCATCTTTACCAATATTTATATATCAATGGGTAGGCCTACACAAAAACACCAAGATATAGATAAATATCATACAATATATTGCCTATAATGTGTATGTGCACGTGCATGTGTGTGAGAAAAGTCTATATAGCTATTGCCTATTATCCATATATGCATTATATACACTATACAGTACATGTAATGTATATAATATAACCTAGGTGTGTGTGTGTGTGTGTGTGTGTGTGTGTGTGTGTGTGTGTGTGTGTGTGTGTGTGTGTGTGTTTTCGCGCATTTTCCCCTATTTTCTGTCGTTCTCCACAAGCAGACAAAAACTTTCGGCCATTTTTTCGGGGTGTTTGTTGTTTTCTCCCAAACAGCAGGCTGTTCTCAGGTCGACGCTGAGAGCAGCCTACCAGTCACCTTATGGCCAGTGTGCAGGAGGGTGAAATGATCCCAGATCAGTGTCTGTTCCGATGTCATTCCATCCCCCCCATCGCGGTACTAGGTGCGCGCCAGCCTCGCGATAGCCTCGCCTACTAGAATCAAAGCTCCGCTCGCGAACTGGATGCTGACAGGCGCGCGGTGCGGTCATCATGCAAAGGTTACACTGGATCCGTTTCAGCGAGTCTCTAAAGAAGCCGCTTCTCCGCAGCACAATGCGAGGCGGGTAGCAACACAAACTCACGCTCGGACTCACGTTTACTGGCCTGTTTTGGCCACAGCAGGTGTCTAACGATGGACGCAAGTTTGGGATTTCCGCAAACGGCAGTGTGTACGCTGGCTCCTCTCGGCGGTAAAGTGGCTTCATGAGTGTCCAAAGTAACAGTGGAAGTGGTGGTGGAAGTTTGGAGGCGACGCCATCTTGGTCGCAGCTCTCCTCGTCCCCAACGATTTCTCAACAACCTATAACGGCGACGGCAAAGAGCAAGGAAGGTATATTAGCTCGCCAAGTGCTCGTCTAACTCGTATTCTCCTTAAAGTGTTTGCTTTGTGGGAGAAGTGGAGTGTTTTGACCGTGTGGAGCTAACGTTTGTTGAAGTAAAAATGGATGTCAAGTTCACTGATGCCGTGAATGGGAAGCCAAACGTCAGCTGTCAGTTCAGTTGATGGCCAGTTTAAGTAGCAGCAAGCTATCATGTTTGCACAAAGGAAGTGCTAGCTTGTTTGTTTTGTCAGCTTACATGATTTCTTGTTACTCGTAGCTGTTGAGGCGATCACAGTGTTGTTGTGGCAGTTTGTAACATTCGCCCCCTATCAGCAGCATTTAGTTGATATTAAACAACATAGCTGTGCATGCATCCATTAATGCATTAAAATGCATGCTCCTGCTGCTGTAAACTTGAGCACAGGCCCTGCTTTTCACCTTTTTCGGCCAGTTTGGCTGTCTCTGTTTTCCTCATTGTTTTCAACATGTTCCTGAGACTTTATTTACTCGATACTGCTAAGTTGCTGGATGTAATGTGACAAAACAGTGATCACAAGTCGCAAAAATAAGTTATAACCTTACAGCTAAGTATTTTAGTTACAGCAAATGCTTTTAAAAACGACAAGGAAGGTGTGTAAGATATGCTGCATAATTACTTTACTATTACTACTGTGGTTATGTTTTTAGGATTATTTCCAACCAGGGACATATTCCTAAAGATATAAAATATTGCTGTAATATGAAACTCCTGGCTCTATAGAACAATTAAGCCTAATCACTCATCCCTGTCCTTAAATAACCTCGCACAGGCCTTGTTGTGTGCTCTCTGTTTAACTTGTTCAGGGGTTTCATAATGTCCGTTATGCCTTTTTAGGACTTGCCCCTCTGGGAGAAGCTATGTAAAGATGACAGCCAGGAAATATCCAATAAGGAAACAAACACTTGCAGCAGTATTCAGCAGGGAGCAGAGGGCCTGTGTGTCTCTTCCTGGAAACCAGTTGTCCAAGAACAAGGCCCAGTTGCAGGGCTGCATACACTGTAACCTTTAGCTTGTTTAAAACTCATTTTATCATGACACTGGTTTAGATCTACAGCGGTGAGGTCTACCACTAAGATAACTGGCTATATAATGATGAAATGTAAGTGTAAACTAGGCAAAAGTCTGTTTGTCTGTGTCCTGTATCAACAGCATAAAGAATATGTATGCACACGTGTAGTAGGGTTTGCAAAATATAAATATTTGCTATTATTTTGACTGAAATTACATTGCTATGTGATTCACCACATTACAGGATAATTACCATTTTAGAAACTTCACATCAACATTAGAAAGTATATTCAAATGTTCATTGTAGGAGACTTTTAAGACGATGCGTACCATACAAAGATGTTTTCTTAAGCCAGTAGATCTGTGAATAAACACAATTTAATTCAGAATGGTATGTTAACACATATTTAGCATTTAAAAAAACACTGTCCTTCCTGCGATTTGAATACTGCCCTAGTCCATATTGCGATTAACGTGAAGCATTTGGATTAGCGGCATAAAGCCCAGATATACATTGCCCGTGCGGCTCTGAAAACGATGTGAATTCGGAAAAAAAATCCCAGTTTTCCTTATCTCGGCTGCTCTATCTGCAGGGCTTATGAGGTTTTGGGATCCCTAAATATCACAGACTAGTTTAGCACAGTGCAATGAGGCCATTGTGACGGTCTGAGATAATAGAGGGGCTGGTTGAAGGTTTTTTTGCTGACAAACTAATAGCATCGCTCTGCTCGGCCTCGACTTTTCTCCCTCCTCACTTCCCTGTGGCAGAATGACCTTCCCCGCTTAAGTTAGAACTGCACTGTCACTCATCCGCAGTATCTTCCACCCTAGCATGAACCTTTTACCTCTACTGCCAAGTCGATTAAATCCATATTTCTATTTTTATCCTCTAATCACTCTCAATTTCTCTCTAATCCTCCCCTAAAATACTGTCCTCTGTTCCTTCTCTTTGTGCCCATTTTAATGTATTTCTAGTCCCAGATAAATGTCTGAATTACTCCAATTGGTTGTTCTTCTACTGTTCTTGTCACCACTGTTTGTTTGTAATGATGGTAATATGACCCCACTCTGTTGTTTCCCTTACGTCAAGCCCCAATGGAGGAGCTGCACAGCCTGGACCCCAGGAGGCAGGAGCTGCTGGAGGCCAGGTTCACAGGAGCCGTCAGTGGCAACACCGGAGGCAGCACCGGGAGCACCAGCGGGGGTGCTAAGGTAACCGCAGCATACACACACTAAAGCCTTAGGGTCTACGTCCACATATCTACGCCTTTTTTGTCAGAAAGGTGCCACCTGGGAGCTGGGGAGAGTTTCCTCCTAGTGTTTCCTCAAAAAAAGCTGTTGTTTCTACGACAATGTTACTTCGACAAAGTATCATGGTTGTTGTATAACTGGCTAGCATCGCCCCCCTTGGAATTTATTATCTGTTTGTGTTGTCCTACATTTTGAGATTAACTATTACAACCAACCGAAAGATGCTTGCTCTAAAGCTTTGTATAAATGAGCTTCACTGCTAAATCTGAGGAGAATATTCTGCGTACGGTATAAGAAAGTAATCGGCTGCAACATCCAGTGTTATCCTGTCCGATCCACTTAAAGGAATTAGCTTTTCGGTCCTGTTAGGATAGTTTTCCTTCTGAAAGTCACGTTCAAAAACAAGCTTCTCCCATTTCTACAGATCCGTCACCATCGCTTTTCTGAAAAAGGTGATATATTTCTCGTAGCGGGCGAACAAAAAGCCTCATGAGCTAAAGTTTATTTTGTGCATTCCTGTTTCCTCTCTGATAAAGGTCTAAGAAAACACCTTTTTTTAGACAACTCCTATGATTGATCTGCATTGTTTGAATGCTTGCTAGAAAGAAGGCCGACAGTCTTCAGGCTTGTGTTCAGTGACTAACTCCACCATGTCAGTCTGAAATACTACATTTGCAACAGGGATTTTTTGAAGTTAGGAAATAAACACAACACCAAAGGTTTCTGTGGAGGAAAGAAAAAGGTCTGGGTATGTTCATGCGTTGGATATAAACCAAGAGACACACCTCAGAGCAGAAGATCTAGATTCCTGTCAGAGAAGGGGCCTGCCCTCTTGCTTTGTTCTGCTTTGTTTACATTACATCAGGTTGCAGAAATAGCACCCGTGGAGACTATTTTCATACTGAATGTGATCACTTATTTGTTTGAATTGTCACTGTGTGCAGGGCCTGGCCAATGAGTCCTCCAACCACAGCTATGGCAGCCTGGGCTCCTCCAGTGACAAGGAGTCGGAGGTAAAACACACAGACATTTGTGTTTGTTTTGCCGGAGCAAAAGAGATAGAAATTAAACATGACTTAAAACAAATGCCAATAATGAAGCTAGACACAATTCTACGAACAGCCTTGCTTTGCCCACTCCACTTTTTTTTTACTGTCTCTCCTACTACCTCCACCTCTTCTTGTCTTCTCTTCCTAGAGCTCTGATTTGAAAAGAGGGAGCTCCCCTGCCTACTCAGTATGTACTCTTTCTTCCTACTCTTCTCCTTCTTGCTGAACACCACCTCTCGAATCCAGCTCTGTTAGGTCAAACTCGAGAGATTTATGCCTTCTCCTCTCTCATTTCATATCGATTCACAGACCCCGGAGAAGAAGCACTCGGAATCGTCCAGGGGGAGGAAAAGGAAAGCGGACACCTTTTCAGAGAGTAGTCAAGGTACGAGTGAAACTTGCAAGAAATCGCTATAATGTAGGCATTACTGACGAATGCATTAAATGTTTCTGTTGGTTTTATTGCAGGGAAGACGTCCACACGTGGGCCCAAGATCAGCGACTACTTTGATGTGAGTATTACAAAACCTCCAGTCAGTACCTCCGCCAATGTGCTTTCTTTGAGCTTTTCTTTCTGTGTATTTGTTTGTTTTTCTGACCTTTTGGGCATGTTAACAGTGAAAATACTACCAATTGGTATACAGATTAATTACAAACTCTAGCTTGAGCTAAGGAAGAACCCATTCTATTTCTGAGAGGATCCAAAACAAGGAGTGGAGACAACCTTTATTTGTGTTGCTTTCATATGATGTTGAAATAACCCGAAAAATATGTTGCCAACTGGGGAAATTCATGTGAAAGCCCTCAAGCATTGTAAAAAAAACAACTTCAGAAACAGATACTAACATGCTAACATGACCGTCCCATGAGCACTTGAATGCACCATTTTCCAGGTCTGCTCTCCCCATTTTTTCCTTTCATTTTCTCTTAAAATAGTTTTAAGGCCAGAGAGTGTCTTTATTGAGAGAGAGCCAGTGTTGAAAGGGAGGCCACAAAGTGGTCGACAATGCTTGAAGGGTCTGTGAGCCGGACTCAAACTCGCCATTTCTAAAGCCGATTTCTAAGTTTGCTCTTTTTCTTTGCAAAGTTTCAGGGTGGAAATGGTTCCAGTCCTGTCAGAGGCCTCCCATCAGCCCGCCGCTCTCCACAGAACTCACACTCTGCCCCGGGCTCACTCGTGAGTACTTGACAAGCAGTAGAACGCCTCAAACAAAGATCCTCGCTCAGTCATTTGGACATGAGGTGCTGGATTCAGTCTCTGTGTCTCTTTGTCTTTAGGTCCGGCAGAATAGCTCTTCTCCTACAAGTCTGTGTTTTGTGGAACAGAATAAAGCTTCCTCTACCAAGTGTGTCCAGGTAATACATGGCATACATGAAACACTCACATGACACATGTTTTAGATGTTTTGACCACACCTTTGACTAACTCCTTGTGTTATAGACGGACTTAACGGGCCTGAAACTCGCTGCTCTGGAGAGCAACAAGAGTCTGGACCTGGAAAAGAAAGAGGGGCGGATAGATGACCTTCTCAGGGTGAGTTCAGCCTCCATGAACTGAGTTTTAATCGAGGAACTGTATACTGTACTAACAGCTTATGGGGGGTTGGTATCATGTTTTTAATAACCACACAATACAAACTTGATGCAGTCCTCGCTGTCTTTCCTCAACAGGCTAACTGTGACCTGCGGAGACAGATAGACGAACAGCAAAAACTCTTGGAGAAATACAAGGAGAGGCTCAACAAGTGCATCACCATGAGCAAGAAACTGCTGATAGAGAAGGTACCTGTCTCTGCATGCACGCACTGTGTCTTCACTGTAGAGGTTAGAAAAGAAAAATGGCTGTTATTTATATGTTTTTGATCCTTTTTTGGGAAGGAAGGAAGAGCTCATCGTATAAAAGCCTAGAGGGAAGTGCACATGGCGCGTTTTAGGCCACCTCGTTTCTACATGCTCAAATGCCCAGAGTTGAAAGTTGATCAACTTTTGGCGCTCAGCAGCGTGCCCCTTGTCATGTGACGAGAAACAACCAATTACAGACGAGGGATAACTTTAGTTCGGAAAATATCAGCATACCGCACATATATTGAAGTACTTTGTTTAGTGCTATTCTATTGATCACCAGTGTTGGGCAAGTTACTTTTAAAAAGTAACTAGTAATAGTTAAAGTTACTGCTCTCAAAAAAGTAACTAGTTACTTTATTAGTTACTAAATTATAAAAGTAACTAGTAACAAGTTACTTTACTTTAAAAATAATAACAATAAAAATACAAGTTTTTGTGTTGTTGGAAAAGGTCTTTCTGCACTGTGGCCCTGCTTTCACTGCTTTCACTGGTATTTTGCTGACTAGTTCTCTGAAGGCAACAGACTCGACCGTTGCGATGGGCAGCATGTCCTCAACAACATACCTGGCAATCAATCTGTTTAGTTGACTCTGGGTGACATGTGGCGATTTAAAAAAATCGTTTTTTGGCTGTTTAGATGGTGTTGCTCCATCTGGGTCACTGCCGGTGGTTGAGACGGTGGGGTCTTTGGCGACTAGTTTTATAGCTCCATGTACATTAGTTAGGTGCTTCAGGAGATTGGCATTGCTGTTATTCGATGTGGATAATGCTTTCTGTCCTGCACACAGTTTACATTTGACCGTAATATTTTTTGCGTCCTTTATCCCCACAAATTGAAAATAGTGGTTATATCTCCAAGTTGTAAATGCGCTGCTGCTCTCGTTGATACTTGCATCTGCCATTGTGTGTGTGTGTGCTGGTGGTGGGCGTTGCCGTGTATGTGTGTGTGTTAGCAAGTGTTTGTGTGTCTGTGTATTTTCCCCATAAGGCAAGACCCGCCCAACTCTGTCTCTGATTGGCTTACCCTGAAATGTTACCCCGCGTTAACCAATCATCACTCCTCTCTGGTCACTTTCACTTTTCCATGGTACTGTGAGAGGACATCACTGTATTGCCTGTAAGTTACATCCGCAGGGAGATTCGGTTCAGTTGGATCACATAATGTAACGCAGCCATTTAAATCACAGTAACTATAACGGCGTTACTGAATGGGAATAGGTAACTAGTAACGTTATTAGTTACCGCAAAAGGTAGTTGCGTTACAGTAACGCGTTAGTTTGTAACGTGTTAGTCTCAACACTGTTGATCACCCTGATGTAAACATCTGTCCTGTGTTTCACCTATATTCCTTTTAAGAGCACTAAAACTTCTCAAGGTTGCTAATATCCTAAATGTTTGTGTCTCGGTTGCCTGACAAACACACACACACAGGAAGCTGCTGTCCCATGGACAATATTTTAAATCACACCTAAAAAAAACGTGAAGAAGTTCAGAAGGTATCGTTAGCTGGTTATGGTCTCTTTGCAACATAAAGACAACTTATCTTAGCGACATCAACACAAGACCAGGGAGCCAAATGTCCATCTGATGTGCCTTGTGTTTTTGATCTGGTTAAAAAGGCTGTATGTGTGGCCCCTGACAGAGACTCTGTCACCTAATGTGTTTTGTGAAGATTTACAATGTATCGTTGGCAAGAACATTTAGTAGATAACAGAAATGAAGCAACAGCTTTTCTGAGAACAAGTCCAATATTCTTTGGTGTTTTAGCTCTGCTTTGGTCCAACTCCTGAGGGGGAGATCCTGTCTGTGGATTAGAATCTCTTGACCCTCCACCTCTTTCCCTCAGGGATCCACCATTCTGGGCTGGATTTGATAAAGCTGCTGCACAGGGTTGCTGTGGGGTTTAATGAGCAAACACACCTGGGTGGAGGTTATGGGTGAGGCATGATCACATTAAGTTGGCCTAATGTTTTCCCTGTTCCTGTGATCAGAGCACCCAGGAGAAGCAGTCGTGTCGTGAGAAGAGCATGCAGGACCGACTCCGTCTCGGCCACTTCACCACCGTCAGACACGGAGCGTCCTACACGGAGCAGTGGACGGACGGATACGCATTCCAGAACCTGATCAAGTAAGAAATGGCAAACGCATGCATAGATTTTCATCCAATTACATGATATTCTTCTTTTAGATGTTGCATTCTACATGGCGTTGAAGGGTCAGAAATACTGTGATTCTTTTTTTTTTGTGCAAGGTTTATTTTCTGCTACGTTTCCCAATTGAGCCGTTCCCTTCACCCCCCTGTCCTCCCCCCTCTGCAGGCAGCAGGAGGGCATCAACCAGCAGCGGGAGGACATCGAGCGCCAGAGGAAGCTGCTGGTCAAGAGGAAGCCTCCAAACCCCGCCTCCCCCTCGCTCTCCGTGGCCTCCACCTCTGAACCCAAGCAGCGCAAAACTAAGGTGGTCAACGGCAACGACTCCGACCCCTTCCTCAAGCCCTCCTTGCCCCAGCTGTGAGTACACTGAAGCAGCCACTTCCTGTAGGATGTTGGACCTTAAAGAATGAGAGGGTTGCCATACCTCATAAGCCTTCTTTAGACACACTTTTTCACAGTTGCTCTTCGATGAAGGCTTAACAATTATTCCAATATGATTTGGAGTTAAATAATAAAAATAAATCTCAAAGGTTTCCTGTTCTGAGATTTTTACCTTTCCTTTTTTCTTTTGTCAGACTGACCCTCGCTGAGTACCACGAGCAGGAAGAGATCTTCAAGCTTCGCCTTGGACATCTAAAGAAGGTCAGTAGCAAAGATAACATACAATTGATTACAAACTAGTGCAACCGTAAGGAATTTTTATCTAGTGAAAGTTGCCAAAAATATAGAGATGCAAATACAGTCAGCTTCAGTTGCTACTAGAGTCGTTAAAGCTGCACAAATGTTAAAATAGGAAAAGAATGTCCCGGTGTGTTTACACAGGAGGAGGCTGAGATCCAGGCGGAGCTGGAGCGCTTGGAGCGGGTGAGGAACCTCCACATCAGAGAGCTGAAGAGGATCAACAACGAGGACAGCTCGGCGTAAGTCCGCTCTACATGCAGCACCGTCACATGAAGTAGCCCAACTGTTGAGACCAGGACTCAAATTGTGCCGAATTGATGTAAAACATCAATTCAGTTTTGACTTTCAAGACAAACATGCACATTAATAATCCCATATGTTCTAGTTGCATACAGCACAACAAGTGTTGCAGGAATGAGTGCTAAAACCCAGAGTTAGCATTTCAACACTTCCGGTTCCCTCTCAAAGTCGATGCTTTTTTTTTTTTTTAATAATGATTGGTGTGATACCTGAAATAAGATCTGTGGTTAACACAATATATTTTCCTTGAGAGATTTACAGTAAATACGTTAATATCCCACACGTGAATGTCCTAATTAAAATGTTCTTTGTGTCTTAAAAAAGTCGGTTGTTAACACCGTTAGCTAAAATAAGACTTAATCACCCAGATCTTTAGCCGCCTTTAGCTTAGCGGTGGTTTTGTGAAATCCTGTGACTGTGATGTCGTTTTCTTAAATGTTGACTATTTACTTTTGGCGATATTATTAACGCTTTAAAAAAAACAGTAGAGAGGTGTTAATATGTGGACATTATCCAGCTGCACAGCATGTTTGAGTATCGTACATGTCTTCGCCACAGATCTCTTTTTCTCCAACTCTTATACATCAAATAAAGACATTCCATTAGCTTTTTATCGAAGGAACCCTTGCGTTGCTTCCAGGTCAGGCTTAAAAAAGATGTCCTCACTGCACCAAAGTTATAGGTACAAGCAGTAAGTCTTTTGCCTTCTCCTCTCAGGTTTAAAGACCATCCCACCCTGAACGAGAGGTACCTGCTGCTGCACTTGCTGGGCAGGGGCGGCTTCAGTGAAGTCTACAAGGTAATGTGTGTGTGTGTGTGTGTGTGTGTGTGTGGTTGGACATGTTTTGTTTCCTATTCCTTCTCTCTGTAAAGTATGCTAAAAGTCAAATGTGTGTGTCTTTGTCCCACACAGGCTTTTGACCTGTTTGAGCAGCGCTACGCAGCTGTTAAAATCCACCAGCTCAACAAGAACTGGAGGGAGGAGAAGAAGGAGAACTACCACAAGTAGGTCTCACACACACACACACACACTCACACACACCTACACAAACAGTGTCCGATACACAAAGACAACATGTTTCAGAAAACTCACCACACTACATCTATTTCCTTCCCAGGCATGCATGCAGGGAGTACCGGATACACAAGCAGCTGGACCATCCTAGGATAGTCAAACTCTACGACTATTTCTCCCTGGATACTGACACGTGAGTGACCTCTGACCTCTGCCTGCTGGGCGACACATCCTGATGTTGCTTATCCTACTGGGTTTAAAAAAACGATCACTTTAAAGGGATATTTGGGATGTTTTGAAGTGGGGTTGAATGAGGTACTTCTCCATAGTCGCTTTATAAGCTAAGATAAATGAGATAAGTTGTACTTTATTGATCCCAAATTGGGAATTCTATTGCATAAAAAACCAAGGCATTGCATATAAGTAGAAATTAAAAGAGTAGAAATAAACAATTCTAAAATGTAAAAATAAAACAGCATTAAAAAGTAGAAAATATACAAGTTAAATGAAATATAAAATGTACAGTGCACGCCCCCTGTTTGGAGAAACAGACAGGAACATCAGAGTGGATGCAAAACATATTTTCAAACTTTTTTCAATCATGTACCCCATTTGAAAAAACAATTCAGCCAAGTACCCCCTGATCAGCGCAAAAACAATTTGTTAGGGACAAAAAGCCTATATAAAGAGGTACAGTACAGCGCTGCACCATCAGTGTCTGATTTATTAAAACAACAACATTGTAACTGAGAAACACTTAAATGCTACATTTCAAATGTTTACAATCCATCACTAAATTCATGGCAAACCAATTTTAACATCATGCAATATCATGCACTAAGACGACATTAGTTGCATTGAACTGATCTTTTTAATAAGTTGTACTTACAATGTAGTGAGAAACATGGGCTTGTGCTTCACTGAGGATCTTTGTCATTCTGACAGGGAGCAAACCGCAGTTATTACACTTTGCGTTTTGAAATATGTGTAACTCTGTTCATATAAAACCCACACTGCTCAAACTTCGTTACTTTTCCTAAAATTGGTATATTTATTTATTTTGGGGCGTGGGGAATGAATAGAAAAAAATATGAGCATTTTATGAGCATGGGATTTTGACCCCTCGTATAAACATATGCATAATGCTGCGCTATACTTTGCAGCCACAAGCCGTTGCCAAGCAACGCTTATTGTTTAGGTCCTTTGATAAGCAGGCAGTCATATCATTAGCTAGAACTAGCTGGATCTGATAGATTTGGACATAAACGCGATATAAGTATAACCGGACGCGAGAGAGAGATCAGAGATCAGATCAGCTGCTGCTGACGGAGAACACGCAGCTCTGCATGATCACAGCTCCGCCCGCTGTGACGGACCGTTGAGCGGAGCCAAATTAAATACACTAAGAGTTATACCTAACACACTTAGCTAGTTTATCTACTCTGGAACTAGCTAAACTAGTTATAAATATGTGTATTCTTTACTGTCGGGTCACTTATTACAGGTTCAGCGAGCTGCACGAGAGTGACGGGCTGTCAGGAGAAAGCAGCTGAAGTATTCTAAATGCAACATACAGTGCACTTGAAGTCCTCTGTGGGCCTTTTCTTTAAGGTGGTCCAAAGACAGGCCCAGTACATCGGTTAGACTCCATGCCGTAAATCCTGTGTTCACCAGAAGAACCTCATACAACCCCACTGTTCCTTTAAAACCATATCAGTGACTTTGAAACCTTTTGGAAAAGCCCTGCCCAGGAATTATGGGCTGCTCCACGTAAGAGCAAACATGGAAGGGCGTTATCAGATTAGGAACGTGTAAATAGTCAAAGCAATTAAAGAAAAAAAGCATAATTCAGCCCCAACATGCCCGGACAATGCTAAGGTTTAATTGTAACCTAAGTCGTGTGTAAAGGGAGTTAAAACAACTGGTAGTTAGGATACCAAATATGTGTCCAGATAGGTAAAGCTAACCCTTGCTGTGTTGAGTACAAAGGTTCAGCGTAGCCCCTGCTCATGTTGTACAATGCTAGCATAGCTGTAGAAGCTCATATTTACAGCTGGTAACTTAAGAAAGGCTCCTGGCTCTGACCTCTGACCTCTGTGTGGAGGAGGGGAAGTGAAAGCCTTCAGTCTTCTCAGCTTTTAAAATAAACTGCTTTGGTAGAAATCCAATCTCCTGAGGATAGTATTATATCATTTTGTGCCAATAAATTCAGTTCAAGTGCCTCGATGTGTTCACATTCAGCTGTTGATCCTCTTCTCCTGTGTGTATCCGTTGTGTATCCGTGTGTGTATCCGTGTGTGTATCCGTGTGTGTAACTGTGTAACCGTGTGTGTGTGTCTCTCGCAGGTTCTGTACAGTTCTGGAGTTCTGTGAAGGCAACGACCTGGACTTCTACCTGAAGCAGAACAAGCTGATGTCGGAGAAGGAGGCCCGCTCCATCGTCATGCAGATCGTGAGCGCCCTGCGCTACCTCAACGAAATCAAACCCCCCATCATCCACTACGACCTCAAACCTGGTGAGTCCCATAAATATAAAAGATATTCAATGAATCATAAGAGTCATTAAAAGGGGCCTACTCTGTTTGTCATAGTGTAGTATGTCATCAAGGTTGTAGCAAAGTAGGCCATACAAAGGTCATAAAGAAACTCACAGTATAGTGACAAAAAGCTTTAAAATGTGTATGTCATAAAAAAAGGATTTAAAAAGTAAATGGTTTTCAAAAAAGCTAGAATTTGATGAAAAATATCATTCAAAGTTTGTATTATATTTATTTGCAAAATAACTACACCAAGTCGTTTTTATGTGATATTTTCGACATATATGAATTCTGATCTTTTTTTGTAATAAGATTATACAAAAATATATATTTGATACATTAGTGAGTAAAGTATGTTTTGGTATAAAAGGCAAGTGATAACATCGTCTGCTTTGAGTGTTAAACCCATACACGTCTCTTGTTCTGAAACCTGATAGTTGTTGTTCAAAAGTGTTGTAACAGTAATCCGTCATACACTGTGTTGTGTCCTTCACACCGCTGTACTCCAGTGCACTCCTTCCCTGTATTTGAGCCTGAGTCTCTGTCTCTCTGCAGGTAACATCTTATTGGTGGATGGCACTGCGTGTGGAGAAATCAAAATCACAGACTTTGGCCTGTCTAAGATCATGGACGATGATAACTACGGCGTGGACGGGATGGACCTCACATCACAGGGAGCAGGCACCTACTGGTAACACACACACCCATACCACACACACACTGACACACACTGTCACAGACGGACACATGAAACATTATCTGTCTTGTGTTATCAACCATACTCGTGATACATAACTATTGAAATAATCAACGTAATATCTAGGAGTCCTGGTTTGAGAAAAACATGTATGAGCTCTCTGTGATATTATATGATGTGTGTGTGTGTGTGTGTGTCAGGTATCTTCCTCCAGAGTGTTTTGTGGTGGGGAAGGAGCCCCCTAAAATCTCCAACAAGGTGGACGTCTGGTCTGTGGGAGTGATCTTCTTCCAGTGCCTCTACGGACGCAAGGTACAACACCACCTGCTACAGAAATGTAGCCCAATCAGGTCCATTCTCATGCTTTTAAATGTTATTTTCCGTATCACTGATGATCTCTCCTTGCTTTGTTTCCCCAGCCGTTTGGTCACAACCAGTCCCAGCAGGACATCCTCCAGGAGAACACCATCCTCAAAGCCACCGAGGTCCAGTTCCCCGCTAAACCCCAGGCTACCACAGAGGCCAAGGTAACACAGGAAATGTCTTAAAAAAACCTGTGTATGCCATTTAAATATACAAAGCGTTTTTAAAAATTAATAGTCGAGCATAAGTTTCAATTTCACTATTTGATGTATTGATGTCCACCAAGTGCTTTCATACATAAGGCTGTTTACACATGCTGTAACATATGAATAATGTCCAATGTGCAGCTATAAATAGGTACAATATCTCCTATTATGATTATGAAGTGTACACAAACATACACACACACACACACACGTTTACTAATAATTGTCCCCTGCAGGCGTTTATCCGCCGCTGTCTGGCCTACCGTAAGGAGGACCGCTTCGACGTCCACCAGCTGTGCTCAGACTCCTACCTCCTCCCACACATGAGACGCTCCACCTCCTCTGGCACCCTGCAGCCCTCCTCATCCCTCGCCACCTACTGACTGTCACATGACTAACTCTGGCCTATCACAGGGCAGGAATCTATCTTTTTTGTTCGTTTACCTGAGCTGTTTCCAAATGGATGAATAAATAAGCAACAGAAATGGACAAAAGTAAGAGAGAAGGATGCTCCGTTTGCATATGTCCTTGAACTCAACGTGTGAGGTAAGAAGAGGGGCTCGGCTTTGTTTGGAGCCACGATGATGGATTCTTTATGGACTTTAATAAATAACCCCGTAAGAGACATTTCAGAACCTATAGGAGCTCATTGATGCCCTTTCCATGCCGCTGTTCCAGATGTTCTCTCGTCACTGATTGGACGTTGGCTTTGAGCAGCGGGTAGCAGAAGACAGGGCTGAAGAGGTGCACGTTTCCATCAAATACAAGCTCAGATGAACACTGCAATCCATCTTTCCGAGGCACAGAATGACTCATAAATGGCAATTACTTCTACCCTTATAGTCCCTCTGCACTTAAAAGTGATGTTACCTTGATGGGACTTGAGAAAAATTGAGAAAAAAGTTCCAGATTAAACTTCTGGTGTTTATTTGCACTTCCGATTCAGATCACGGTGATCTGGTGTCAACACATTTGGCATGAAGTACTTCAGCGTGGGCTCCATCAGTTCTACTTTTTTTTCAGATCTACTGCCAAGTTTACAGGAAGTGGATCTGAGCATCTGTCTTAATCCATTTTTGTTGTTCAGATGAGATGTTTTTGAAACCGCTGACCCGAGGGACTGGATCAGCCGTTACTGCTGAACACTCGGTGACACTCAGCGTGCATTTCATGTGCTGGAGACATTACTCATTAGCAAATACATAAAACTGAGGCTTCTCTGTTGCTTCCCTGCGTCTCACTGCGTTTATTTCCCAAAAGCTGTTCTCAGTTTGCTGCTATTAATGTTGCTTTTTTTTGTTTTGAATTGTGTGAATGCCTCGCATATGTGCATACTTGAACTGAACACTGCAGACACCCTGCTGTGCTATTTGGTGCGGGGGTGCAACACATTTGCAACACATTTGCAACCAACATGTCCACATTTGTTTTTGGAGCAGTATGCTGCATAGCGAGGGACGGTCATGCCAGAAGAAGAAGAAGCTCTGGGCTGTTGCGGCGTGGTTTACTCAGAATAGAGAGAATATATCCAAATGTTGTCGTCCTGTAAATAAAACACTTACCTGTTTGTGTTGTGACATCATAAAACCCCTTTTTAAAATGTAGGCAACCTGCCTTAAAGCGGGCCTGTGGTGAGAAATCTGATTCTGGTTAGAATCTGACCTGTGGACACTTTCTGCATGTTTACCCCCTTCAAATCTATCATTCTAAAAAGGTCTTAACATGCCCAAAAATAATCTTTAAAACAAACTGTCAGATAAAATTCAAGTCTTAATTGATTTTATTTTTACTAGAGCTGCCTGTTAGATGAACAGAGAAGCCAAAGAGAGATGTCCTTTTAGTCACATGACAGAGAGATACAGGAAGTACCTGCTCACGGTTTGCTGCTCACAAATAAATAAAAAGTGACGAAAGCTTTTTTTTCTCAGAATTCTGAATTTAGTTTCAGAACTCAACAAAAAAATCACTTTTGGTCAAAAAGAATTGGCACATATGCCCTTGTCATCTTCCGTAGACACGAGTTAGGTGTCGAGTTTGATCAATTGTAATTATATCCAGTTCCTCTCCACTACTGTCTTAATTTCTCCCTTTTCTCATCTACTTGACATGAAAACAATAAAAATGGGTGCTGGTATTAAACCAAATGATTGACATTCATAAAGAGATTAATGTAAGTGCAGACATTTGTAAGCTACATGTGTGGGATCATATTTGTGGCGGGGTTGGGGGGGTCAACGCTAGGCCATGTTCATATGCAATAAAGATTGCCTTACAAGTCTTAATTCCTGCAGTGTGACCGTATATTTACTGTCCAGGGTTTAGCACCGTCACTAGAAGAAGACTGAGCACAGGGAGTGACACAGTTGAATCATGGATGTATAATCAGAGTTGAATGAGGAAGCGCTTTGTTCATTCTTAATACAGATTCACGATTTTTGAAGGCATTTTTAAGGTGGATTTTCTCAAGAATTATACTTTAAACTGAAAAATTCACGTTGAAATATATTTAGTGTGCACAAAGATGCTATTTTATTTCCTTTTTATCTCAATATTCAATAATTACGACAAACATACGAACTATTATGTTTTTGGTTTCTTTATTTGTTACAGAGTATGCAAAAGAAACCCTGACTGTATAAAGACACAGGAAGCATCATGTAAAATTAATTTGGCTTTATTGCTCGCGCTGTACAGTGGATGTTTTCAGTTAGCTGTTACAGTGACACCTGGTGGTCGTACTGCATCACTGCACCTGCCTATCAGTTCAGCCATGCCAGGAGGAGACGTACAGTACTGCAAAAATAAACACCTCCTCACCCATGTCCCACCCTCCTGATCACACACAAAATGCAGCATGCTTTATAAGTGTACACCCCCCCCTCTGGCACGGCCTTTAAGTTGTTACCTCCCGGTGTGGTCAAAACGGAACCTATAGAGTTCTGGTTATACATACAAAGGGACAGACTAATAATTTCAGAACATAAAAGGTGGTGCAAAATAATGCAGATTCATTCATTGGGTGGAGACACTCATACAGCAATTTCCAACAGAAATGTATACATGTCAATCAAATCGATCTATTGGTCAGGGGTCCTATTAACTAATAAAAGGTTACATGTCAGGGCTGGATGATGAGATCAAAAAAGTAATGGTTTACCTGTTTTCATACAGCAGTGCGTTTTTCCTGTAGACCCACTTTTGTCCAGTTTCATTTAAGTGTGGCAGGTTCATTTATAATGTAGATACAGTAAATCTATCGTCCAGCCCCGTTAACATACACTGTTTATATATAAAAAAAACAAGAGTGAAACAGAGAGGCTTGCCAGATCAGAAAGGGGGAAGTCCTTGTGTGTGAGTGTTGTTAGAGTCCTCCTCTAGGGCGCGTGGACGAGCTCCGTGACGATCTGGTCATAAAGACATGTCCGTCCTCCATTCTTCATATCCACTCATCCTTCATCGCTTCCTCACCCAAACCTGGAGGGTGCCCACCTGTGTGTGTCCCTCTTGGCCAAATAAATAGAAAAATACAGAGAAAGACAGACAGAGGGGGAAGAGAGAGAAACCGGGTGTGTGTTTTGGTTTGATGGCAAGCGGGATGTTTCTCCCCCAGGTTATGAGGTTAGCGTTGTTTCCGTCGGAGGCGCTGATTCCGTGGTGTTCGAGGAGGCTGTTTCCGTGGGGACGGCGGCAGGCTCGGGGGCGGGCGCTGCCGTGACTGTGACGGAGGCTGTGGGATGGGGGGGCAGGAGGGGGAGAATCGCCTGGGGGAGGAGAGGGGGTAAGGTGGCCAGGCCGGGGAAGTTGAAGGAAGGGAGCGAAGCCAGAGAGGGGACTGATGGAGAAAGAAGAGAAAACAAGAGAGAAGGTGAGCGCATCGCTGCTAGGTTTTGTATGTATAATGTTCACATTAAGCGTCAGTGAGGGTGACCAGTAATACATACTACATAAAACAACATGGTATTTATATACTACATCTTTTTGGCAAAGATTGATGCCTGTTTTGTTTTGTGGGATAGCGATGCTGTATTTACCGGTTCCTACTGGTAAGGTGCCTGCTAGGGTCATGGCACTGAGGTCTGGCAGTGTCAGGTTGAGGTTGGGCAGGTGAGGGAGCGGAGGTAAGCCAGCTGGGAGGGGCATCAGACCTACACACACACACACACACAATGCTGTTATACATTCATTCATTTTGAATGATATTTACACTACAGTTAGTCGACTCTAGTATTGTAATGAAGCCACTATGAAAAATAAATTAGAGAAGTTTTAATATTCCACAAGAGTGAATGTGATTTAACCCGATTTGGACAATCTCTTATTAAAAAAAAATGGATGGTGGGAATTCCGACAGCTGACAGTTCATGGTACCAAAATCAATAACTAGAATCAAAACAGAAATATTGCAAGGCACCTGATAGAAACTCACACAAAGGCTATGTTTAGACATTTGAAGCTGTTGAGACCTAGTATTGTCTAATACAGTTGAGGCAGACATTTCTATGTTTTCTGGAAAGGTATGTACACACTCATGTAAAAGAGAGAGAGAGAGAGAGAGCTGTTATGTGTCTGCCTCTGCTTTCCCAAACATTTGCTATGCAAGGTTTGCTGACTCAGCAGACTGATGGCGTGTGTTTGGAATGAAAACGTCTGGGAAATCACCCACCTGGTAGCGTGGTGGCGGGGTTGAAGCCGGAGGCGGGGTTGAAGCCAGAGGGGGGGTTGAAGCCGGAGGCGGGGTTGAAGCCGGAGGCGGGGTTGAAGCCGATGGCGGCGGGATTCAGTGGAGTGAGTGGGCTGAGGGCGGGGCTGGTGGAGGTGGGGAGCAGAGGCACTGTAGGCAACCCTGAGGGGGGGTACAAATAACACATTAGATTGAAATATGTGGAGTAAATACACCGTCATATAACCGATTTCTTGGGTGAAAAAAGAGAAATACCTGTCTGCAGCTCCCGGGGCATGGTGGGCGGGGCCGTGCTGATTGACAGGCCAGACAGTGAATCTCCAAGGCCTGTGGGGGCAGAAGGGGCTGCAGGAGGGGGGGTCACTGCTGAGAGCTGCACCTGAAGGAGGCAGTGGAGGGAAAAAAAGATGGTGTCAGACAGAAAAGGTCACACTCATCCCAATGTACCACCACAGCTCTCTGTCCTCCTGCCAGCTCTGCTGCTTACATACTGAGGGAACCTGCATCTTTACAGTGTGAGCAGAGTCTAAAAAACACACAACTTCACACGTAATAAAACAAAAAAAAAAGGACTTCATGTTTTATTCCCTTTTTTTTTTTTAAAGACCACATTTTTCAGAAAATCACTTAATTCTTTCCAAAAACACCAAATTCCTTTAAAATTACTTAATAGAAAAAGTCCCCTTATTTTCCATAAATAATAATTACATTTATAAAATGGCTTCAGTTATCTGTAAATCAAATGTTTAAATGACTAGATGATGTTCATGTCATAGACGTAGGTACATTCAAATGGTGAATAAATGAGGTATTACATTAATACTTAAGATCTTTGCTTTGAGCATGTTTCCTATCCAAACTGAGGGTTTGAGTTAGATTGTTAAGTTCAACCCTGATTATGTATTGCGTGTGTGTGTGCGTGTGCGCGTGTGTGTTCTGACCTCAGTGAATCCGTCCTTCAGCGGACTGAGGGGCTCACTGGGGGGGTTTCCAGGAAAGCTGATCTTCTTCCCCTCCTCAAAAGGCCTTGTAGGAATTCTGTGCAGGTAACCGTAGCCGATCCCACATCCAAGGCTGGAAAATGGAGGAACAAAAGTTAAGAATTGATCTAACAAACCTCAAAACATTTTTTTAAAACACTTTAGATTAGCCTGTTTCCAGACCACAGAATATAGCTCTGAATTGTTCTGAGATTGAAATAGGATTGCTCCATCTTCTCCTGCTTCATGCTCTTGTATCCGACCAGCCAGTATCCTGACCAATCAGCAAATGTTTAGGTACCTGCAGCTATTGGGGGGGGGTTAAGGTGTGTGTGAAGAGACACAGAGATATCCACTCTTCGACTGGCTTCTGCAAGAGTTTCATTGACAGGTGGTTCATCCAATCAGCTGCCCAGTATTTTCTTTTTAAAGTGGCTTCACTTTCCAGAACCCCTTCCAATGGCAGCTTCTTCTCAGATGGTTTTGTGTAAGCAAACTGTCAGGTTACAATTCCCCCCCGAGTGTGTTGGGAAATCAGAACTATGTGGGTGGGGTTCAAATGGGGTGGCCATGTGTCTGTGCCAAACCACAGACTGTTTATAAAGACTCCAAAAATAATTACATCCAGAGAATTGGCCAGATAAACTGACAGAAATATTGAATCCTCAACCTGCAATAACAATCTTTATGACCACTTGGGGGCAGTGTAAACAATACTGTCATATCATCACCTTTTAACAAGTGACCCTGTTGAGTTGTCTAATAAACAAATAAGATATCTGTTACTCTAAGAAATATGCTGTGTATATCCCTGTGCTCCATCAAATGTGTTGCGATGCATTTACTTCCTTACAAAATGTTGGCAAAGTAGTTTTCTTTGTATTATTAAAAATACATCACAAAACC